CAGTACTGGGGGGGAGGAGGAGGTGCAAACACCCCCCTTCACTCCCACCCCTCTCTCCCCCCTCTCTCTCATTGTGTCACCCTCACAAGGCACCCACATGTTCCTTCCCACACGCACAAGGCTCTCTGGCACTCTGTCCTCCCACAGTCAACCCAGGCAAGCGCCCCCCCCCCCAAAAAAGGGGGCAAAATGCTCCAGAAATGCGACGGGGCTCCTGCTTATCCCTAGGCATCGCAGTAAGTATGTGAGCCTTCCCTCACTCCTCCTGAGAGGGCTTTCGGACGGAGGGCCGTGCTCGGTGGCAGGGGGCACCGCGTCTGCTCCGGGACCGGTCTGGCCTCGGGGTGGCGGCAGACGTTGGAGCGCCGAGGGCCATGCGCCAGCGCTTTACACTCTGTGCACACACCCGTGCATGCACACCAGAGTGGCACACACCAGGCTCCTGTCTAGCATTCGCTTCCTTCATGCAAGGCGCTTTCACATGGGGGGCGGGCATGCAGACACGGGCAGTCCACCAAGACCCCTGCTCGCCCCTTCAGGCCTCACAAACAGCCCTGACCATCCCCAGGTGGATGGTGCCTTCCCCAAGACCCGAAGGCCGGAGTGTGTAGCCCCCCAAAGATTTCCACGGACTGACACATCTGCCACCAGCCCCTCTTCCCGTTAATTGAGGGAGCACTGCATTTCTTAGTTTTTGGACAGTTTAGCGTGTGGGGTGATTTTGGCTAATGCTCTGAGGAGGGGCCGCCCGAAGAGTTACGGGGGGTCACACCCGCGGTTTCCCCCCTCATTAAGTTGCGGGTCTCCAGTCTGGCAGACGCGCCGAGCGCCTCAGGGTGCCTCCCGCCTGCTCCCTGGGGGGAGTTGAAACGGCATGAATTGCTTTTGGCAGGTTTGCCTCAAATGACCCCCTCCCCGCACCCACTCGCCCCCTCCCCTTCCAGCCCTGCTGCCGCAATCAGAAAGATGAGGGAACAGAGGGGCCATTTTGGAGGAGGTTTCGCCAGGAAAACCCTTCGGGGTTTGTTTGCTGGAGCGTACGGCCTCCGATCCGCCTCATCTCAGTGATCTTTTTAATGCCTGAAGCAACTTGGAGTGTTAGTGGGGAAAACAGGACTGAAAGCCACTACAGACCAGAATAATTCGTGTTCTGAAAGCGGGATTTGATCAAAGGGACAAAAAGGGTCCCCAGAATCAATTGAGTGGGACCTCTTTGGCTCACTTGTGCCTGCCTGCCTGCCTCCTTCCTAGTTACACCTTCATCTGGCAATTTCTTGTTAATTTTGGCAAGTGGGTAACGCTCCCTCAAATGAACCCCCCCCCCACTTATTGGCTTCTTGATTTATTTAAGGAAGGATGTACACATCCACCACTTGGGATGGGGCTACCCAAAAGACTGCCTTCTCCTGTACAAGCTGCTAGTCCTCAAGATCTTTTGGAGAGACCCTTTTCTCTTGACCACCACATTTAAAGGCATGCTTGGGGGCAATGCATCAGAAGCCCTTTTTCCAAGGGAGGCAAGTTCATTCTTCCTCTGGTGGCGGCAGCGAGAAAGCCCACTTTTTAGAAGAAAGTCTTTGGGTTTGGTGCTGTTTTTATTCTGAACTTTTTATTATACTATTTTATACGATGATGATTGATTTATACCAGTATTAAATTATATCCCACCTTTCTTTCTCTTGCATGGAATCAGAGCTGCTTATAAGACTCTTCTTCTCTCTGTCTGGTTCTCACAACAACAATCGTGTGCGAGGCTAGGCTGGGAATCAGTGATCAGTGACCTTCGTAGCCCAGTGAGGACCAGAAGGCGCGTCTCCCGAGTCCCAGTCCAGCACTGTCAGCGCCAGACAACAGTGGGTAGAATGTGCCTCCACTGCACTTGGACGCGGGCAATTCCTCGCTTCTTTTGTCAATCGTTCTGCAAGCCACCAGGGGCCGCGGCTTGGCAGCCAGGTGAGCGCAAACCAGCTCCGATGGCAGACGGGTGTCCGGGCCCTGTTTCCACTGGGAGCCCCGTGGGTAGGAGGGAGGGTCCGTGCTCTGGCAGAGCCCGTTCACCCTGCTGGAGGGACCCCTCTGGAGGACTCTGCAGCTCTTCTGTGTCTCCCCGGCCCTTCTGTAAAGGCAGAGGGCTCCCCATTTTGCAGCTCCAAAGCATCCTCCCCTCTGCTTCCCATGTGCTGCATGGCACTCGCGGGCACGGCCGTAGCCCACCCACGATCCATTTCTTGACTCCGAGAAAGCGCATTCTAAGCTTCAAAGTGTGTGTATGTGTCTGTGTGTTGCGGGAGGGGGGGTCCCGGAAGCTGGATGCATTCAATGGATGCATTGCACCAACTGGTGCAGCGGAGGCAGCGACAGGGTGGTCCTGGCCTACGGCAGAACAGGGAGCTGCACAAGTTCATAGAACGTGGAAACAGAGCAAGTCCGAAGGGGCCTCCCGGGCCATCTAGTCTGACCTCTGGCACCAGCCGGCTCCACTCACGACATGCCCACCATGTGCATGTCCAGCCTGTCCTTGCACACCCTCACCGATGGGGCCTCAACCCCCTCCCGTGGAAGCCTGTCCCACACCCTGGGGGTCCTGACTGTCCGGAAGGGCTTCCTGGCATCCAGCCCTTCCATGGACCTGCTCCTGAAGCAGAAGGACCCTGAAGGGAGCTGCGTCCCAGGCATCCCAGGGAGCTGCATCAGAGCAGGCCTCCCATTCGCCCCATCACATGGCAGGCCTGGAGGGCCGCAGGGGTGCCTGCTAGCTTGCATTCGAGGTGACGCCCAAGCGGTCCATCTTGCCTGCACAGAGGCAAAGGCCCACCTGCGCTTCGCCCACTAGGATGCCTGTCTTATCTGGGTGATCATGGCATGGCGCTCGGATGAGTGCATTGCCCAAATGCATCCCTTGCCCTGGCAAACTCTCCCCCGACTGTCTACGGGTCGCAAGAGATGGAGAGGCTGATCGCATTTGGTGGTGGCACAAACTGGATCAGGAGAAACCCACGGCTCTTTAAATGGATCCCACTCAGGCGCAATGGATCTGTGGCTACAGCCAGATTCTGCAGTGCTTCTCAAGAGTTTTCTGGGTGCTGACACTCCTGGCCAAAACATCTGGACCTCAACGGGAGCTTTATCCCTCTGTCCCTTTTCTACTCCAGCAGACTCGGACGAAACCTTAGAAGCACTGCCCTCGATTTGAGCTCTGCAGATTGCAAACAGCATGACTCCGAATAACGGTCCATCTGAGATGCGAGAGTGGCTCCTGCCCATGTGCAGGGCTGAATCCGAACTGGACCACCCCCTCCTTCCCTCCCTCTCAGAAAGGTCCAGCTCCACCCTCTGGGCGGCTCCCGCTGCTTGAGGGCCAGATGGCGGCAACACCAGGCACTTGGTCGGCTTGCTCTGCCCGTCATCCTCTCACAGGGTCAAGGAGCTCCCCCTCTGCCGCCACCCCCGCTCTTCCCAAATGTCTCCCTCCTTTTCCAGGGCAGGCCGGTTCTCACGCTCTGCCTGGAATCTAACACTTTCTCTGCACACGGCTGTCCCTCGGCCCTGTCCTCACGACCGGGCAGCTGCGTCTGGGGAGACCCCAGCTCAGGGCGCTGGGCCTGTTCCCTCCATCACCTGCGACTGGGAGAGGTGGGAAAAGTGTTCCCGCCCTTGGCATGTGATCGATTTGAGCCCATCTCATTTGTAGGCAAGGAGATGAGCATCTCTGGAAAGTCCTTTTTCCGATGCCCTCTGCTTCGGAAGCTCACGATACTTGTTGCAATATTTACAGACAAACACGCAATTCTTGTTCTTCCAATTTACCTCTGTAAACGAGGAAAGCTGGGGGGGCTCCCCACCTCCCTTAGGCCAGCTGGCCCCATTTCACTTCCAAATGGTGCTCAAGAGCCCAAGTTTGCTATGAGAGCCATCCTTCCGCAGGTGCCCACCTTCCCCCTGCAACCTGCACACGCTTCCCGGATCCCTTGGGATCCATCCTTTTCCTCCCAAGGAAAGCCTGGGCAAGCTGCTAGACCCGGGAAACGGTTACGGGCACCAGCTTGCTGGGCAGGGATGGTTCCCCCTGAGCACGGGGCACCACTGCGGTGGGAGCTTGGGCACCACCCGCTTGCGTGCCGAGCCCTGCGGGACGGGACCCCGGCAAGCGCCCAGGCCGCCTGTGGCCTGGCAGGCGCCAAGGAGCTTCCACCGCTCTGGCAGTTGTCACAGCCAGGCCCACCCAACAATGCTCCCTCCCACCGTTTGTCGAAGGCCTTTCGTTGCCCTGATGGAAGGACGCTAGCTAGTACAGATTGCCCCATGCCAGGAAAGAAAGCGTTTTGACAGGCGTATAACACAGAACTGGCTGTAGATATACACTGAACTGTTCCTCCAGCTGAAATAGTACAACGCCCCTGGGGTCTTGCCACCTTCGTGAGCCACGCCACCCCGGAGACACCCATCCCACTGGAGGGAGGAGACGGAGCGCTCCCGTGCGCTGGAGCACCGTCCATCCGCTTCATGGGAGCTGGCGGAGCGGGCGTCCCTGGGGGACCCTCTTTGGCCCACAGCAATGGGAATGGGTCCGGGTGACGGGGATGCCTGTGCTGGCCGCGGGAGCACAGCCCCCACAGAAAACGCCCGCCCCCTTTTGTGCCCCTCATGGTCCTCTCCTCTGAAATGACCGGGTGGTCCCCAAGAAGGAAATAGATTCAAAAGAGGGAAGCGGATCCTTACATCTTGCAAGCGCAATCGAAAGCACGGGCTGGTAAATGCAAGATCGCAGAACCTGTCTTGGATCGCCCTTTCCGTAACCGACAGTCACGCTTGAGCCAGCGGTTCCCACGCCATGCGCAGGGTTCTGAAAGGGCTCAAGAAGAGAAGGCAGAACCTCCAAGGTTACAGGGTCAGGGTCTGCGACACAAGAGGCGCTCCCGGACCACAGGTGACGCTCCCTGCCCCCCTCCCCGACAGTTACCTGTGCTAGACCTTGCTCAGCCAGTGTCTCCCAGCATCCTTCAGTAAGGGCGGTTAGCATCTTTTGGCCTCTTCAGCTGCACCTTCAGCCTCTTCATGCCGATCTGGAAGCCATTCATCGCTTGGATGGCAGCTTGGGCGCTGGCGGGATTGTCAAAGCTCACAAAGCCTGTTGAAAGACAAGGGGATGCGCAGGTTCAACCGGCTGAAGCGGCTTGCGGACCTCCCCACACACAAGATCCTTTCAAGAATGAACATGGAGAGCAGGCGAAGGAGCTGGTGGAGAAGAGGATGACCAGATGGCTCTCGATGGGGGGTGATCTGGATGCTCGGGTCTGCGTGGATGGGAAGGGGGGGGGTCTGAATGGAACCGGCCAAACCTGCCCTGTGCTGAGACCGGACAGAGAGGTGAGGGGGAGGCGAGCGATGGGCGGCTCGGCTGGGGCCAAGGACAGAAGACACTCTTGCCACTGCTCATTGGAGTGCGAGGTCTGAGGGACGGCGGTTCCTAGGTCCTGAGCTGTGCCAATTCTTGCAGGGGAGAGGAGACCGGAAGGATGATGGGAGGAGAGGGTACATCCAAAACGGGTGGGGACATCTAATGGCTGTAGGGGTCATGGGAGTTTTAGCTGTTGTCCAGGATGAGTTGGTCTCAAGACTGACTGAGGAAACTCAAGAAGCATTTGGTTGTGGTGGGTCAGCAAGCAGAACATTGGGTCGTGAGACCTTGTGTTCACACTGCTTCTTGGTCACGGAAAGGAGCGGGAGAACATTTCTGAGCTTGCCTGAATTCTCAGGAAATCAGCTCCCTCTAAGTTTTGCCTCACCTCCAGGGTTGCTTTTGAGCCCCTTTTTGCCCCGTGGGAGGGCAGGTCATCCGAATGGCTGCAGCGTGCATTTCTGTGCAAATTTGTCAAAAGCATGCACCTCTCCCACTGACTAGCACAGAAATGTTTACGCTCTGAAAAATGTGCTTTCTGAAGTATGCATTTTTGAAACGCGTGCTGTTTGGACACGATAGCAAGTTTGGGGATTGGCAAAACTTTCTTCGAATAAGGCCTCCCTCCTCACATCCAAGACTGCACAGAGGACGTCCGCATGGTCTATGAACAGAAATAAGCCTAGCCACTGACTCGTGGGGTTGGCGACTCACTCAGCACCGGTTTCACAGCCAGCTCTCTCTGTTGCACAAAGCCATTCGTGATACACTTCACCAGATCAAGTGAGAAGGTCTTTGATTTTTTGCTAGTTCCTATAGTCCCAGTCTGAGTGGGATGGTGGAAACTGGAGAGCTGCAACAGCAGGGGGTTGGACCCGGTGGCCTTCTTGGCCCCTCCCAACTCCGCTCTTCTTTGATTCTATAGGACTGCTTCATACAAGAAAGCTGATCTTGGTGTAGGGGAAACGTCCATTTGTAAGGCAGCCCTATACGTGTTTTGGCGGCCGTTGCTCTTTTTCTGCCTCCGGCTGTAGGCAGCTTCCCATGAAGGAGACTGAGCAGGTTATCCAGAGCTCAGGTGGGATTCGGATCTGGCCATCGACAAATCCCCACGGCTGGGCTGGTAGCTCGAAGGTCAGTGAGCCAATTCCCACACGACTGCTGGCCTCACACCTGACAGCAGCCAATTTTGGGGTTCCGTGACTTCTTCCCCGATGTCCCGGCAATGGAGGGGTGTGACATGGGGGAACCGCGTTACTGCCAAAGGGCAGGTTGGGCTGAGAGGAAGGAGAGCCCTTGGCATTCTCCAAAGCAGTGTAGGAAGAAGCTCTGAAGGAGAGGGTGGACGCACCGGCCCATGTCACTCGCCCCACATTCTCACTTCTCCAGTCTTAAGACTGGCTTGTTCTGAATGTCGAGGCATTTTAACATTCCCGTGCACCTTCATAGCCTTTAGCAACGCTGGGTGAGAGAGGGTGGGCGGTGACCCTCGGTATAAGAGCAAGCCCTTGGAGCACATCTCTGCGTTCACTGGTGCAGTACAGGCGGACTCACACCAATTCACACCTGTTGACTGTTCCAGGGCACCCAAGTTCCTTCCCTATCCTGGGGTTGATCACAAGCACCAAGGGCTCAGGGAGATGTGATTTGGAGTTCCTGATCAGGAATTCTGTTTTAATTCATGTGTTTGCTCATTTTTATGGCGCTCTCACTAGTCAAGGAAAGCATGCACCCCTTCCTCTCACGCTTTCCCCAGTCTAAATCTTGCCCAAAGTGCCCATTACTCTAATTTCATTGTATTTATACCCGGCCTTTTAACTTCTTGCAAGGAACCCTGTGCAGTCTTCCCCTCATCCATGTTATCCTTGGGTTGAACCAACAGAGAGTGACTAGCCCAGAGTTACCCAGGGAGCTTCATAGCCAAGTGGGGAGTAGAACCCGGGTTCCTGCTACGTCCCAACACCACTGGAGGACTCTGGTTATGGGGCTGGATGCCACTTCTGAATCTGAACTAACATTTTGTTGCTACAGAGCAGTGGGTGGCTTCTGAATCATGGGAAGTGGAAGTCCTGGATTGCCCCCTTTTCTTTCTTTCCTCCTGCAAAAACCCCCCATGCCACACAAGAAGGAGAGGTTTTGACTTTGTGGTGTGTGTTTTTAGGGGCTACGGCAGGCTGCACCGCTGCCCCCCATTCTCCTTTGCTCCCCTCAACCAGCAACGTAAACTTCCGCATCTCTTCTAGACATTTGCCTGGTCTGCCAAAAGATTAAGGACCTTTTTCATTCCCGGGGTGGGGAACAAAGGGGCAACCCTGGACTTTAGTAGATCTCTTCCCCCCTCTTTTCTACTCCAGTAGGTTCAGATGAAACCCCCAAAGCACAGCCCTGGATTTGAGCTCCAGCAGCTGCAATCACCGCAAGTCAAAGTAACAGTCCCTCTGAGATGGGATGGTGGCACCTGCCCTTGTGAAGAGCTCAGGCCAAACCGGAGCATCGGCTCCTTCTCTCCCTTACAGATCTGGTTCCACCTTCAGGGTGGCTCCTGCTGCTGGAGGGCTAGAACCCAGATCTCCTGGGTCCTCAGGCCAACGCTCCTACCGCCGTGGGAGGACCACCACTGGTTCTCCTGAGCTCCTTGGTGGTGGTGCGAATGGGGGGCAACTGAGAGGGACGCTGGCCATATCGTGAAACCTGCTATGGAGGTCAGATCTTGCCTTTGAATACGTGTATGTTTGACCACGCAGTGACCTTGACGTCTTCTCAGGATTTGGTTGACACCAATCCGTGCACCACTGGGGACGTGCTTTGGGTTGGGCTGGCCCTCATAGGACCTAGTGCATAGAATTGCAGGGCCCATGGAAATCCTTCCCCTCCTTTGGACAACAAAGAGGGAACAAGAGAAGGAGAGGTTAAAAACCTCTAAGCTCTCTCTGTGCCTATGTTAATTAATAATCAGAGAAATATATGTACCAGTCTGAAGATGATTGGTAGGAGGACAGGGTTTTGTGATAAATCTATTTTATGTTTTTTTCCCAGGGATTATGTAAAAAGGCTGTGCTAAATAAATGATTTAGCAGGGCAGTAAAGGACCAAGAAATTTGCAAGCGTTGCAGCTCAGGGCATCTGATATGCCTCGTTTTGCAAAGTTGCCAGCTCTGAAACATGGGAGTTCTTATTTGAAGGAGTGTCCAGGGAAAGTCCAGCTGCATGTCCAATGCGGAATCGTCCCTTCTGCACCAGGGGACCCACAGCCTGTGCAAAAGGGCTTTTATGATCCTAAAAGGAACCCTGGAATTGCGTGCAAAGGGGAAATTCTCCGTCTTGGAATGCTCTGAAATGAGCGTGGCTGCTTGTTACTGGGGTTATCCGTAGGATGTGCTAAAGTGGGAGACCTGCGAGAATTTTGGACCCAACGGAAGCTGAGCTGGCCCTGGGGGGGCTGCCCCAAGGGTGGGGTGCTAGGAGCAAGCAATATTCATAGAAAAGCAGCCAGAGGGGCAGCTGCAGTTGCTCTGTGCAAGGCAGCAAGGAGTGAAGGCTGAAGGGAAGCGGACGGCAAGGAGGCCCGGGAGGTCACAGCAAAAGCCTAAGCACCGTCTAGCACTAGCCAGCACCTTTCCTCCCCTTGTCCAAAGAAAGAGGACTGTCCACCCAAGAGGACTGCTCCCCTAGAACAACTGCAACACCCCCCAGGGAGCAGGCCAACATGCATAGCAAAGAACCCGCCACTTTAGCAGAATGATGACTGGGCAAGAAAATCCTTTGCAACCAGTTCTTGCTTAAGACTACCGAATGATACAGGATTGCACCAGGGGCAGGAGCCCCCGTGCTGTCAGGAATGGATGCCTGCAAAGGGGTCCAAATGCATTGCAGAATGCTCTCTGCGCAGTGAATGTCTGCAGCTGACTCGAACGAACGAGCCAAGCCACATGTGGGGATCTAATATTCTTTCTAAACCCTGAAAAAGCCCGGTTGTGTGCAGTGCGTGGAAGAAAGACTCTGGTGCACCACCAGCTTCGTGGGCCCTGGTCTTCCTGTTCTCACAGCTGTTTGTGTCTCCCTGAATTCTGCATATCTTTTTATTTTTGTAATCCGATTTTAATAGCTGGGCAGCGCAATCCAGTGCAGCTGCTGTACGTGTTCAAGTTTGGGGGGAAAAAGAGACAAAGAAAGATGAAGGTCAGTGCCGTCCCGCAAAATGTTGGCATCTTCCAAGGCAGCATTGCCTAGTGCTACTTTCTGTGGAGCCCAACTGAACTCAATAGGACTTACTTCTGAGTAAGTCTATGCAGGCTTATGGAAGCAGAATAAAGGAACAGCTGCAAATGGGTGGAAACAGATGCCGTCTGTGTGTGTACACAGAGAACTGGGAATTTAACCCCGCCTTTGTCTGACAGAGTTGAGTGTCACCTTCTAATAAATGAGCTTCTATATGGGAAAATTGTGATACAAGCAGGGAAAATGCAAAGTTAGTTTTCATTGATTTGTCACATAATTTCTCCATGTAGGAGTTCATTTATAAGAAAGACTAACTACAGAATAATTGCCTAGAAAAATCACCTCATGCCACAGTGGATAAAAATCGATGATTTAAAAAAATAAAAAAATATTGGAGGTTTTGGATTTAAATTGGATTAAAAAAACAAATTGTGGTAAGCATCTCTCCTTCATATATATATATATATATATATATATATATATATATGAATGAGATTGAAAATCAAGTCTGA